ATCCATTGTTGGTTAAGAATACTTTATTTCTGTTTAATAAAATTAAGGTTTAAGTATTTCTTGAAATTTGTTTAGAGCAGTTTATGAAGTTGTTATTTAATTCTCTTTCAGCTTTTTGGGAAATTCGCTGATCCGAACAAATCGCTAATCCGAATACACCTTTCCCCAATTAATTCGGATTATCGAGGTTATACTGTAGTGTATTTATTTGTCTCTTCTTTTTAGCTAATTTGTACATTGTGTCAACACTGATTGGTTCTTTAATAAAATAACAATCACTGGTTAAGTTAATAATTTTTACAGCGGTTTTGTGAAATATTTCAAGGTAGTTCGTTTTTTGCCGGACAGTATGTTATTTAAATTTTATAAAATCAGATACTCATGTACTTGTGATTTATAACTACGTCTCGAGTTTTTAAACTAGACATTCAGACTAACTGGTGCCCGATAAGAAAATTGATCCTTTAATAATAATAATTTTTTTCACATCTTAGATTCTGTTAGTTTCCACCCCTACTCGACACAAAAACATAATTAACCCCGCCCACCCACCCTGTCTCCTTTTCAGAGATTGATTTTATCCGATCTGAATGAAATTAATGATCTTATACTGAAGAGAAATAAAATTAGTCGTTGGAATGAGAAGAGAGGTAATTGCTAAGATAAGACTGATTTTGGCACTGTTGACATTTTCGCTCAATTTTCAACTACATATCTTCGAAAATAATCCAGAGTCTGATCCGGTCTTTTTTTATTTTTTTCACATTCTAGATTCTATTAGTTTCCATTCCCAGTCGACAAAAGAACACAATTAGCCCCGCCCACCCACCCTGTCTCCTTTTCATTGTTCGATTTTATTCGATCTGAATAAAATTAATGATTATATACTGAACAGAAATAAAATTAGTCGTTAGAATAAGAATAGGGCGGGTGGGTGGGGCTAGTGCTTGCTAAGATAAGACTGATTTTGGTAGATGACATACATTGCAAGAAAATAGAGGGCGGATGGGCGGAGCTAGCACTTGTTAAGATAAGACTGATTTTGGCACTTTTGACATTTTCGTCCAATTTTCAACTATTTTCGAAAATAATCCAGGGTCTAATCACGTCTTTTTTATTTTTATCACATCCTAGATTCTATTAGTTTCCATTCTCACTCGACAGAAGAACATAATTTTGGAAAAAATCAAAATTTTATATCAACATTTTTTCAATTTAATTTTGAAACTTCAACACAGATTGATTGAAATCTTACAAACATTTTAAAGTTATCGAAAGCAAGTCATTTTACAGTATATTGTTTAAGTTTTATAGACTTACATAATATATAAAACACCCAGATTTTTTGAAAAAAAAGTATACATTTTATAATTTAACTTTGAAATTGAAAAACTATGAATATTCTGAAAACTTGCAAGCTTTTTAAGTTATCGTAGGCATCAAAATTTTTCGTTTATGCTGCCCTAAAAAATCATGACCTGTGATTTAAGAATCCGTGTTGAGTTTCTACCCTAGACATCCAGATTTTTTGAAAAAAAAATGTAAACTGTATTTTATAATTTAACTTTAAAATTGCAAAATCGAATAATCTGAAATCTTGCAAAGGTTTTAAATTTATAGGAAGCATATATAATATTCTTTAAATTTTATAAAATAACATGTTCTTGTATGTGCCATTTATGAATCAGTGTTGAGCGTTTTACCCTTGGCATCCGAATTTTTGTGGAAAAAACAAAATTATATCTAAGTACATTTAAGTTTGAAATTGTAAAAACCGATCGCTGTGAAATTTTGCAAATAAATTGATGATTGATCTCTGCGTTGAGGAATCAAAATCAATCAAATTTCATTTTCTTCATCTGTTGATGCTTTTAATCTCAATTCTTTCGAAGTATAAAGATGAACAGTCGATAATGACGAAATCAATTTTTTTTATTTTTCTAAAGAAGCAGGATTTGTTGGACTACAATTCAAAAGCGAGGGAAGTTCTGTCGCAATAACCTTCGACCAATATTTTTATTTTGGGGTGAAATTTTGATGTCCTAGTTGACCTTCCTTCATTGTCCTTTTGCCTTTTGCAAATCCCATACAAAAATTTGAAATAATAAGATAAAAAAAGTATGTTAATGTTTTATACGACGATATATTTTGAACTTTGTCATATTTATTAATAATATTGGTAATTATTTTTCATGCTAAAAAAATACGATGTTTTGCAAAATGCAACTACGACGGAAAAAGCGATCAAAGCGAAATATTTATGAAATAGGTAGAAGACAAGAATAGATAAATTAAAATCTCTTGTCCTAGGCTTACCTGTAGAACGATGTAATAATTCGCAAATAAAAAGTAAATTACAACAGTACAGCATGTTACAAGTCATATTTTTTTAAATTTTTAACACGAAAGAATTTCATGGATTTTTTTAATAAATGGAAGAAAAAACTCAAAATTATTTATAAATCCAAATAGAATATTAAAATTATTTAAATTGAGGGGTCACTCGACTCCTCATGCCATTTAAAATTTTGAACTGTGAGGGACAATGAGACAACATCAGATTTAGGTATAGTTGACAACTGGGTTATTTTAGGGTGGCCCATTTTCATCGAAATTCCCTGCATATTGTTCATAAAGATGTCTCAAAAAATGAATAAACGAAGCAAATTATTTTATTAATTGAATCAAAAAGTTGGTGACGTCATCACAAAATTTTATTAGAAAATTCAAGTGTAAGTAAAAGTGAGAGAAATTCCTTTTAAAAAGTTTCAACAATTTTTTCTTTAATATTTCAAAAACGATACATTTAATTTTCGTGAAGTTCATAGAATACACTAACTTCAAGAGTGTTTGAATTACATGTTAAAAAAACCTTCGTCCTCACGGAAAACTAATAAATTAATTTTTGAAGGATATATTGATCTTTTAGCTAACAAATCTGAACAATTGTCGTAATTTATTTTTTTGGATTTTGGATGCTTCCCTTTCGATCAGCAGCCAATCGAATTCTGAAGTTCTGCCATTTTCAAACTCTTCTGTTATCAGTTGTAATTTTTTTTTTCTACAACACATTGAAATGATTGTAATTTTATTTTATTGCCTAAAAATGGTGCTTTCAATAATAAATATAAGTACAGTTTTATCTTGGCGAGGATTTGGGATGGGCACTAACATTTTAGTGGCATCAGTTTAAAAATGAGTCATTACAGAGAACCATTGTGGATGGGTACAGGTAGATAAATATTTTCTATAACAATAAAAACAGTTATAGACAGACCATAAAATCGGTACAGAATATGCATTAATTATATTTAAACCACCAGTTTAACAAAGCAGATAAAATTGAATTGGACAAACTAAGCTTTAATCCGTTCCAGGAAAAATTACTAAAGATGAGAAAAGGGCAAACGATTAGTTTATGTAAATATCACACACTTTACTTGGTGTTATACTCCTGGCAAGCAAAAGTGGTTGATCCAATTTTTAAAGCTTCTGTAAGATTACCACAAACATGTGAACTTCTGTCAAATGATGTTTATTACTCTTCTATTTATAAAAAAACACCTGTAAATTCTCTCGAGTTTTTAAAACTTCTAGCAACTCCTGTGTTGTGTAGTTTCCTTCATAATACAATCGTACCTTTCGAAAATTTCAAAAGAACTGAGTCTTCAGAAAGACGCTTATCCAGACTGCGTTTAAAATGAGTATGAAACTATCTGCATTTCACTATTTATGGATCAATTTTATATTTTGAAAAAGGGAAATTAGTACAAATCGTATAAAAAAAAATACATTCAGCTTTACAGAAATAAAATATCTTAATAAATAAATGAGTAAACAGAGGCAGAAAATTTGAAATGTGTGTTCAAACAAACTTTAGTCATTTTCTGATTCACTCAGATCCATATCAGGTAGCTGATAGAGCCCGTCCTTTTAAACCATTCATAATGTGATAATAAAATTTTATGAGGGTGTCCACCGGATTAGGTTTTTCAAATTTAATCTGTAAGTCACTCGAAAGATTAACGACCGACGCCAACAAAATCGTTTGTTTGAAAATGGTAGACAAACTGCCTAAATTTTATTTAAACTGTGTAGTTCTGGAATTGGTAGATCCTAGAAGACGTAGATTTCTTGCAATTAGAAACCCTGATTACATTTTACAGGTAGAAAGAGAAAGGGAAAAAACAGTACCAGCAGCAATAGAAGTATCGTCAGCAAATTGATGTGCACGTGTTCATGTATATCACTCACGTACAGAAGAAACAATGTGGAACCAAGAATTGATCCTTGCGGTGCCCCTTTTTCTCAAAATTACAAATTAAAGAAATTGGGCGATACTTTTGAATGTCACTTGGATCACCTAATTTTTAAAATAGGAGACACCCAGGCTAATTTCCATAAATCTGGAAAAGTTTCTGCATGCATACATAAATTAAATAAACGATATAGGGGTTTGACAAAAACTGTGGCCCAGCTTCTGATTAGGAAATTCGGGATTCCATCTATTCTGATACAAGATAATATTTTTATTACTCCTAAAAACCTTTATTAAACATCTTAATTTGAAAATTTTCTCTCAAGACTTCAGAAAATTACCAAACCGCAGTATGACTATTAATTGCCCTTGAGTTTATCTTGGACAATAAATTTCACAGCGTGCATTAGAAAACACGCTTCAGTCGCACTTGATTTATTTAATGTACTATTTATTGCTAGTCCGGAGGAAAAGGAAGTCATTCTAACTTTAATAATCCTCCACCATATTTTTACGCTCTTTAAACCATAACCATCTTGAAACGGATGTTGTGGTACACACTTCTCTTGCAGATTCGCTACATTATAATATTAATTAATAATAAAATATTAGTCATCAACGCAGTCCAAATCCGCATCGCCGCATCACCGCATCACCCTCCCGAGCCCGGAGCGATCGTCACCGTCCGTCCTCTCTTCGTCATCGCTGTTATCATCGTCATCATCATCCTTGGAAGGTTGTCGGTGTCGATGGGGTTCCGCTGGCGGCAGCGCTCGCTGAGTCGTCGGCGCAACGTGCAACCGAGTGGACGTAGTTCTCGTACGCAACGCAGGTGCTCGTAATAACAGTTTACGGTCGATTTGAAACAGTCGCGGTCGTGTGTTTAGAAAACAACAGAGTTATGTTTATTAACGGTCTAATATGTTGCTAAATCAGTGAATTAAATAAGCAAACAGTTAATATTATTCAGTGCTTTCCAACTGCTTTTGAGTGAAATGTGCACGAATCGAATGTTTTGATGACAGTTTCATCGATAAGATAGGGAGATCGTTTTTCTATCTATGATAGTAGAAGACAATAAATGGTTTAGATAAACGTCACTGTAGAAATGCGTGAAAAATGGGATACGTCCAACACCCCTGTCCCGATCAACGATGGGCAGCCGGTAAGAATTTTTTTCTATATTATGTACATACACTGTATAATTAAAATTCAAAAATACATTAACAAAAAAAAAACTTGAAACTCACTGTTTAGGCAAACTTCATTTACATATTTACAAAGACAACTTATTATTGTTGTTATTAAACACATTTGATGGTTTTACATATTTAATGGTGTTGTTATGCTGATTTTCATGTCTGTCCATATTTTACTTGTTTTGAAAAAATACAAACAGAATCACTTAATATGTGATGTGTAATTTATAATGGTTTTTGACGTTCTTTCTGACGTAAATAGAATTACTAAAAAACTTGCCGAATTTTCCAATTTTTTTATTTAATGTCTTATAAATGTGGTTTTTGTGGACTTATAATTGTTACAAGCAATCCAGATTTCCAAGATCTGCAGATTTCCCTCATCAAAAGTTGTACTTCAACCATGGGAAAAGTTAAAAAGACTGATAATAGGGGAGAACTTGATACAATAGCGTTACAAAAATCTATATTCTCGTCAGATTTACACCTGGGCCCTGCATATACTTTGCCAAGCAGGAGGGAGATTTAAGAAACAGGAGTTATTAGAATGGTTATAAAAGTGAAGGAGAGAATCCAGTCCAATGTTGAAAATTGTGTTTTAAAAATGTCTAAACAAATTTCTATAAGTATAGTAATTTCTCAAAAATGCTCACAAAAAAAGGAAATATTTTCATGCATTCTTGATACTTATAATCATTTCATACAGGATGTTGCGTTTATAAATTACACACTAAATCGAAGCTAATGAAATACAGTACCTTCTACTTAAAAAAGAAAAACTCGACATTGCATCGTAAATCTTTTATACTTTTCTCAGTACAATAGGTATAAAAATGTAAGTAAATGGAACAATGCGTTTCGTTTTTTTTTTTTTTCAATAACAATAACAACACCCTATACCATTTTCGTTATTTTGCTATAAAATAAACCTCACTTACAAACGGTATATCTCTACCGTGAAAGATTTTAACTTGAATATAAATTAGTTCCGATTCAAAACGTATTACGATGTTTTCTCGCAATCAGAAAAAGAGTAATCTTTCACCATCATTTTTGGAACACCATTGTGGAAACTAAACTGTTTTCATAAGTTGAGAACGAGAAATATTTACAAGTTTTTTTTGGTATTATCCATGTATTTTTTCAAGTTATAATTTCAAATATGACCAAATACGATGTAACGCAACTCACTAAACAAAGTTTAACAATAGTATATTAAAAAACAAGTTTCATCAGTATCTAAATCTAAATTTATTCGGATGCTCCAAAGCTCCACAGGAGCAGTTTAATGAATCATGTGGCAGGAAAACGGTTAACGGTGTAAGTAATTTTCAGCAAAATATTATGACAATATTGACAATAACCAGTTATTAATCTAACAGTAATTTAATTGTCTGAAACATTTCGTCTTTTTGACGCTCATTTTATTTGTTATTTGACAGTGACATTTGTAATGACTACCAATCTCGAACACATAAATTACTTCATTACACATTATTTATTAGTTTTCAAATTAATTAATTAATTTATTTTATGGGTAGTTTCCACTCTGTAGCTCACCGTACGTTGTTTATTTGTTTACATATTAGTTGTTCTTTCTGGGATCAAAGTTCCAATAATTAATTCAAATAAACTGCCATGCAGATAATAAAAAAAGCCACGACAATTTTATTGAAATATATCATCTTTTCTAATTTTTGAAATATTACTTGGTCTTGAACACACTGCAAATTTTTAGCAGGTCATATATATAAAAAAATGAGTACATATAGGTTTAAAAAGTCCTATCAAAAACTGCGTAAGGATTTATTTCATTGGTAACTGTAAACCCTGAATTAATGTCCGTTCAAAATAATCACTTCAGTAGTTTCGAAGATGATCGGCCTAATAAACTCTCAACAGTCAGCATTTTCGTATACTTCGACTCGTAAGAAAATGCCAAGAAAATATCATTGGACATCCATCAAAATTATTAAATTAAATGTTCCTTAAGTAAGGTTGTTTCCATTTTTTTTTAACCGGAAGTGCAATTATTATCATTTTCGTATATCCTAGAGCACGCTTACTTTTGTAGATTCTCTGTTGTGTGGTTTCCTATGATGGTAGTGGAAATGATCTGACAGTTTAAGTATAAAAAGGATCAGCCCTTAAAATACAATAATTTTATCGACAACGATCTGCGTTTACTAAAAAAGATAATTTATACAACAGGCGTTATTAATAATAATTATACATGCACTTATGTTAGATATTTGATCTATTCTAGGCCACAGTCAGTATAGATGCAAATATCCGGACGCCAAAAATATTTCTCATATCAGCTTGTCATTTGACTTGATGTATCAGCTTAACAATAGATAGATATGATAATAATCTCGATGATGACTAATATTAAGTACACAATTTCGATATCAGTTTTTCGTGGTAAATACGTATTTCTAATAAAATAATGTTGATGGACAATTTCACAAAACTTAGTCATCTCAAAAATGTACAACATAGTTTAAAAACTACACACATTTGACCACAGTTCTCCTGTTCCTTACTTTGAAAGCTATTTAGAAAATCCTTGCTATTGTAATTACTGGGTTCCAACTTTGAGTTTGAGTTACATAAAATGGCCTTTTGAAAGTAGCCTGTTGTTCTTTTGCAAACACAGTAAATAAAGGATTAGCGTTATGAGACCACTTAATATCCAGTACTTATCTAAGTATGCATAATAAATGAAATTAATGGCTGCCGCAGCACAAAGAATAATACCTACATATTAGTTAATGCAAACATTGTATTTGTTATTTATTATTCAGACAACGTTACGCAAAGTGTTAAAAATAAAAATAGCAACTACCATTAAATATTTGCTCTGAATAAAGTTTTACCTACAGCCGAGGGCAATAAATAATCTAAATTTTTTTCAATTGTGATAAGATGTGCAATAAATTTCGATAATCCTCGTTCCACTTGTTGAAATAATTTTGTTCAAAGATTAAATATTTGTTTTTCCAATCTGGCGTCTGCGGTAAATATTTGTTGCGGTTAGTTATAAAGTTTAATACTTAAGACGAATAAGTCTTCTCGTTAGGCACATGTTACTTTTGCTGTCTGGAAATTATCCTGTGCGGAAAGCATGAAATTCGTCACTGAAAAACATTTACCATGAAAGTAAAAGATGGGCTTGAAAAAGGTTGTTAGAAGAAACACCTCATAAAGTAGAGCAAAATCACGGTTTTATGATTTTCGCAGTTTTTCTTATTTACTTAAACTATGTTCACGTGCGTCATTCCGTCATTTATAACTTGTTATTTTAATGAGAAATCGAAAAAATGGATTACTTAATTACCCATTAAGGCGTCCATGAACTTCGGACTATTAAAGGAAAAGTTCATAATTGTATTAATTGACACAGATTTTTAAAAGTATGCATAATTGATTAATAAATACATGAATGTAAATGTTATCAATCAGATTATAAGCAGATTAGTTGTAAGTTTGAAAATGAAAGGAAGTAATTGCAAAATACGTTGACGGTGTTGTTAATAACCGATAAGTTTGTGATCGTTCATCAGATACCTAGTATTTGGTAACTAGAACGCATTAAATTCATTCGGAAAATTATTTAAATATGTTATTAAAAAGTGTCTGATGTCTTGAGCTCGAAGACAACGTTGAAAGTTGAAATTCAAGAAAAAAGTATTTGTTTAAATTATTGTTATTATTGTTGCTATTAAAAATTACTATAGTTAGCAATGCAACGTTATAATCTAGACCAAGCAACCAAATGTTGTGATAGTAAAAACGAGGTAGAAGTCAATTACTAGCTAGTTCACTTTCAACTGGACTTGGTTTTTTATAGCTACTAAAAAACTGCACTTTTGCAAGTGCAAATACTAGTTTTTGCTGTTTTGCAACGAATGATAACTTGTTCACTACGGAATACTTTGTAGTAGACCTGGAAAGCAAACGTTCTGAAAAAAATCATACTTCAACAACAAATAAAAATTTTAATTACCTACCCAAAAAAGTTGAATAACAGTGATTAACATAAATTTAGTTTGCAGAGTTCTTTATGTCTTCATTGTTTTACAACTTTGTTGATAATTAGGTACCAGTTACACACCAACGTGCCAAGTATGATTAACAGAGGAGGACTCATTGTGTACATACAAAAATTAGAGTAATAATCTTCTAAAGTATTTATTGCTTTGCTAAGGAAACACAATGACAAATCGTTTGTCAGAGTACTTATAAAAACAAATAAAATAGTAGTAATCGTAAAAGTAGATCATGTGTTTTGAATTGGAAGACAACAATTTGAAAAAATATGACATGGTGATGAATCCATAATCTTAGTTTTTAGTAGCTTTTACTGGTCATAACCCTGTCAAGAAAACAAAAATTTGTAGTGTTTAAGATAGCAAGATATTATGAACATCGTTATATGGTAAAACGCTAACCAAAATTTGTCTAATCACCCCCACCAACAATCATTTACAATAGTAAATATGATTTAAATTGTATAAAATAATATACCTCTGTAGTCGTGGTTTATGAATCCGTGTTGAGTTTTTACCCTAGATATCCAGATTTTTGAAAAAAATTAAACTGTATACCAGCATTTTGCAATTTAATTTTGAAAATGGAAAACTGGAATCTTGTAAACGTTTTAAGGCAGTCAGAAACATGGAAAATCGTTAATCAAAATTTATTTTGAGGTGGCTGAAAAATTATCGAAAATTTCATAAGGTTTCATGGAAATTTTAGAAAAATGGCTTAAAAATCTACAACAAGCTCTGGGATATAGATCTCAAATTATGTACAATGAGATCAATTCATTTGTGTTGTACACATTGATCTCAAAAAATTAAAAGTATTAAAAGTAAATCTTATCAATTTATTTTCCATAATGAGTCATTATTAATGACGATTATAATCTTTCAACTTCATTGTGTCTAATGTCAGGTGAGGT